CTGAAGGTAGCCGAGCCCAAATTCTGTCCCTGACCCTGACTTCATATCCCAGTTTCAACCTTGTAACAAGTGACATCCCAGCAAACAGAGGGCGTTTAAGGATGTACAAAGTGGATCCTATTCGAGGCAATGGCCACAACTGGCCCACACCTATCTCGGAGACTTAATTTGCTTAAAGAAATATATTCTAATTCTGTTCACACAGTTCAGTGGATTGCCTTGAACAAAGCTCCATTCGGGCATTCTTAAGGCTGCAACCTTGGGTGGGGGCTCAAATATGCGTAAGACTGCACTGCTAGTTAAGTGCTCGCATTTTCAGAAACCTTGCCACTTCTTTCTTCAGTCTGATTTTCCTCCTGGGGCTGTTCTGGGAAAAACAACTTCCATCAGCGTAGCTTGATACCCATCCCTTATGGAGGGTCTCCATCTCCTCCCACTCTTCCTCCCATCTTCCTCCTATGCACGGCTTCAACCACCGCATACATCAAGCCCCACTTACCAAAAATTTGCTGGAGATCACTTGCACTTCTCTCTAGGGTCGAGTCTGCCAGGCAAAAGAAAATGGTCCCTTCCCATTAAGAGCAGCTTCTGAGCAGAGGATCCAGGCTAGCTCATATAAATTTGATTACATTTGCATTCTGCCTGCCTATGAGCTGCCTGGTCCAAACAAGAGCTGGCCTTGCCCAATGACTGGGATTCATGTAGGGAAAACATCTAATTTTTTTTTATATCGTCGTTGTTGAAAACCTTGAACTAGGAGGAGCTATAGGGGTTCCTAGGCCAGCCCTCTCTCTTTTGCTGCCATCCCAGTTTTCCATTGATTTTTCTGAAATGCAAGGTTGCATCAATAATGCAACAAAATGGGAGCAGGAAGGGATATGGCATTAGACCACATTAGAGTGGTTTGCTCGGAAATGAAAGGCAAAAGACAGTAGACAGAAAGGCAGAGCAGCACATCTTGCGGGCAAGAAGAGCCAACAGCCAGAAATGGGACTGTATTCTTGAAGCTTCCCATGATCCACAGAACAGCTGGACTGGGAACGGTTGGGATTTGGGGGCATCGAATTGTAGTGGTTGTCTTCCTTTCTTTGCAAATGGTTCCTGGTGGTGAGGGTTGTGGGGGGAAGAGGTCACTCCTCAGGGCTCTGCTACTTGTTTTCATATCAGTATGGAGGTGATATATAAGTATATTTTGATCCCAGGCTAGCCAAGTGAGGCTGTTGAAATTCAGTATCAGTGCCTGGAGACTTTCTCCTCCTCCTCCTCCTCCTCCTCCTCCTCCTCCTCCTCCTCCTCCT